TCTCTCTCTCTCTCTCCTTTTCATCTTTCGTAAGAAGCCGCGATCGAGTGGGACGATTGCGTCTTATCTATCGACAAATGTCGAGCAGTTCCGATTGCTCATCGAGGTCGATCGAGATCGAGGATATTCGAGAAATTACGATTCATTTATTCACCGATACTAATAATTTCGTCAGACGCGAGATCTCGCGCGAGGAGGGAGAAGGGACAGGGGACAAGAAGAAGGAGGAAGAGGAGAAGGAGAAAGAGGACAGATGAAGAACTTTCCCATAGAATCTCGGCAATTCTCTTTCTTCCTCCTTAGGTCGTGTATCCCCCCTCCCTCTTCACTTTTTTCCGCATCACGATAACAAGAGTTGTCACCATCCGCTCGCGCGACGTAGATCCGGATTGCTGAATATCTAATTATAAACATTCGCTCATCAGCGATTCATGCTTGAGGACGCGATCCGCGTGATTCTAAAACACCACCCCTTCCCCTCTCTCGAATGTCTAAATTTCCCCATGGAATTCGGAGAGGAATGCGCGCGTTGGTGGCGAATTATATTATCATAGATCCCCTCCCTCCTTCCCCCTTCCTCCTTTCTTCCCGTCCCCTTCCGCTCACACGTCCGTCTGACCGCCTTTCGTTTTCATTACGCATCGGTAGCATTGTAATGCGCGTCATTTTTTCGTCATCGTTATCATCGTCGTGGTCGTAATTTATAATCGCGGTAAGAAAAATTGGGGAGAACCGCGAAAAATTGGCGACATCGCGTGCGAGGGTGCCCGATTCGAACGATTCGACAAATAATAAGGATATTGGAAACGTGACGCGCACGTCGAAGACTCTTCTTTCCGTCAAAGACTCTTCTTTCTGGCTCTGCCGAGCATCGCGTAGCGAAATGTTATTTTCGCGTGCAAAAAAATCGCGATCGACACAACGATCGATTCTCTTTACGAGATTCGAAATTCTTTGTTACACCAAATTCTTGATTATACAGAGACAATGGATTCGAGAATAAAAAGGAGGAAAAAGGAGAAATTTGAAAAATGGGCTCAATCAACATAGGACGAGAGATGAATACCGTTAGCGATATATACCGCCAAGGAGAACGTATAAAAATAACGAACGACAAACGTACGTAAGGTAGGCGTCGCGCGAGTTCGGTAAAGAAAAGACGAGAGGGATAGGGGAATAGGGGAGTTCATGGGCAACTCTTTGCCTTTTTCCGCATCGCATCGGACACCTACTGCTACGGGGGCGCAGTTTGGCGCGACGTGACCGGGTGGCGGAGGGCGGACGCGAGTTGTGGAGGAGGATACCTGCGCGCGGGTATAATAGAGGGTGCAACAGCCCTTCGCCGCTCATTCTACCACCGCGTGTCGTACCGTCGACGAAATAGAGCGCGAGTTCTCTCCGCGAGATTCGACCCAGAGTAAGTTTTCCGGTCGGTCCTGGCAGGAATTTGCGCGCGGCATAACCACGGCGGTTCATCGGTTCTCTCTCTCTCTCT